TTTCTTCTGCTTGTTTGTGTATGCCTTGGCTGCATCCTGTGGAATCCTAGGATTTGTAATTTTTGGGTGAGAGTCAGTGTGGCATAGTGGTTTGAGTGTTAGTCTGCAACTCTGGAGACCAGAGTTCAAATCCCTGCTCAGCCATGGAAGCCCATTGGGTGACCTTGGGCAAGTCACATTCTTTCAAACTTAGGGAAAGGCAAACCTCCTCTGAACAAATTTTTCCAAGAAAATCCCATGATAGGTTCACCATAAATCAGAAATGCCTTGAAGGGTCACAAAGTCATTTACATGACTACAGGTCCCAAGATTTGATAGGATGCAGTCACGGCAGTTAAAGTGGGATCATAGCGCTGTAATTGTGCTCAGAGGCAGGGATTACCCACCCCCAGTTCAGCTACTCTGCAGATAGAAGGTGGGGAATGGTGGGTGGTAAATAGTTTGTTCTTGTTGTTAACTGCCTTCACATCGATCTTGACCCATGGAGACCCTATGGATGAGACATCTCCAGGCCCCCCTGTCCTCCACTGCTCTGCCCAGCTACAGCAAACTCACATTCATGGTCTCTTTAATAAAATCCATCCATCTAGCATGTGGCCTTCCTCTCTTTCTACTTCCCTCCACCTTTCCTAACATTATTGTCTTTTCCAATGATTTGTGCCTTCTCATGATGTGTCCAAAGTACGACAGTTTAAGTATTGTCATTTTGGCTTCTAGGTATATCTCTGGCTTGATCTCCTCTAGGACCCATTTATTGGTCCTTTTGGCTGTCCATAGGATCCTCAGCACTCTCCTCCAGCACCACATCTCAAATACATTGATTTTCCTCCTATCTTTTTTCTTGACTGTCCAGCTCTCATATCCATACATGGTAATAGGGAATATAATGGCTTGTATGATTCTGACTTTTGCGCTGAGTTGTATGTCTTTGAATTTTAGAATCTTTTCTAGTTCTTTCATAGCTGCCCTCCCCATTCTTAATCTTCTCCTGATTTCCTAGCTGCAGTCCCCTTTCCAATCAATGTTTGATTCCAGATATGAGAACTCTTTTACTGTTTCTCTTTCCTCATTGTCTAATTTGAATGTGTATAAGATCTCTGTGGTCATTATTTTTGTTTTTGTTTTTATGTTCAACAGTAAACCTGCCTTTTTTACGTTTTTCTTTGATCTTCCTTAGTAGTTTTTTCCAGGTCTGTGAGGTTTTCTGCTAGCACTATGGTGTCATCTGCATATCTCAGATTGTTTATATTTCTTCCTCCTATTTTCACTCCTCCCTCTTCCATGTCCAAGCCTGCTTTCCTTACAATATGTTCTGCATATAAGTTGAATAGGTAGGGTGATAAGATGCAGGCCAGTAAGTACTATCAGTCCTTGGAGTAAGTCAGGATATTGACATCTACAGTCATCCTCTCTTTTCAGGAGCATTTCTGTCTTGAGAGCACCACTGTAAGATCCTTGTGTGTGTGTCTGCACTTGCTGCTAGCGGCTGTATGGGCCCCCTACCCACTGTGCGTTCTGGAGTATTCGCTCCCATTGTATTATTGTCTATATCCACACTGCAGAAATAATCCAGTTTGTCATCACTTTAACTGCCATGGCTCAATGCTGTGGAACAAACTACGGTTCCCACAATTCCATAGCATTGAGCCATGGCAGTTAAAGTAGTGTAAAACTGGTTTATTTCTGCAGTGTAAACCTCTTCATTGACAGTTCAACTTTTTCATGTGTCAGCCAAGACCTGAAATGACTGGATGTCCATTGGCAATGGTTGCCCTTTTACTGGGGCATGATCCCAATGCGATTTGGGTAGGAAGGTGTTTAAGTATTGCAGTTGCTGTGTTTTCCTCAGTCCTTCTCAATGTTTATTCCATTAGTCAATGGATAATATAAAATAAGTTCAACGTGCATTTATCACTCCACATACTTAAAACATTTTTTTAACCTTAAAAAGAAATACAACTCAAAGAGAAGAGAAATAGTTGTCAAAATAAGCTGATTCCATGAGCACTCTCCCCCAGAACTGATTGAAATAGCTTCTAGGTTTCTTTCTTACAAAATGGAAGACATTGTCACAACAAGTCCATATGGATTCATTCTTATAATAGCAAACTTAGATTTTCTTTTACTTACTGGTAGTGTGATGTTGTGGTTTGAGTGTGGGACTAGGACTCTGAAGACCAGGGTTCGAATTCCAGCTCAGCCATGGAAACCCACTGGGTGACCTTGGGCAACTCACACTCTCTCAGCCTCAGAGGAAGGCAATGGCAAACCTCCTTGCAATAAATCTTGCCAAGTAAATATGTTGTGATAGGTTAGCCCCAGTGTTAAACCAAAAAACCTGGGGTTTTGTTTTGGTTGTTTAAACTGTGTTTCCCCCCCCTTGCTCTGCTCCAGCCACCATTTTGGCTAATTTTTAAAATATTTGCTTTGTGTTTGGGAAAGTTTGGGGTTTTTTTGGAGGATCAGGGGAAACAAACCACCATGGCTTTGGCACGTTTTGTATGGTTTGTGGGCAAGATATCATTTGAAAAGTGGGCCTTTAAAAATATGAGTTGAAGGGCTTAGAAATCTGGGGGATTTCAGGGGCCATACTTACGGGTCCCTAGGGCCACACACATCCCACTAGCCACACTTTGCCCATCTCTAATTTACAGCAAGATTGGGAATTATGGAGCCTTCAAGGTGTTGGGCTGCTACCCTCAGCATTTCTCATCTTTGGTTTTGCTGGCTGAGGTTGCAGAGAGATGTACAGTTTCATAACATCTGGAGGGCCAAATGATTCCAAATAGTATTTTATGTTCTGAATAGCAGGGCTGCCTGTGTGTCTGTTGGGTATGAGCCAGACGTCTTTCCCATTCCCTGCTACCTGATCCATGAGCTTTGCTGCCGAGCTAACATTGTCCACAGACCCACCACTGTAGCACTGAGCTATGTGCACACCCGTGTGTGCCACACTCAACTGTGAAATGGATTTGTCAGTTTGGGCTGAGGCCCCAGGCAGTATAACATTGTGTTTAACATTATTCCCCTCCTTTGTTGTCCATTCAACTCAGTTAAACATTTGTGGGAAACAGCAACAAGTACTTAGCTTGTAATTCCTAGTTTATATCATGTGTGAAAGAGTTTGGAAAAGTTAATGTTTGGGGGCTACAAAATAAAAGCATCCATCGCTGTCTCTAGGATAATTAAAATTAAAGTCCAAAAAGTTGTTTTTCAAAACAGTTTACTATTGGTTTCATTAGTTCAGATGCTGCTGGATAGAACACTGAACTACTTTTTTTAAAGTGTATGTTTAGGTTTTTCCACTACCAGAAATTCACTCACAGCTCAAACACATTATTTCCCCCCTTGTCTTTGCAATGTGATCTCATTGCCTTATGTTTGTTGAACAATCCCTGAATGCATTGAGTTTTCCCATCAGGGGTGTCATCAAATTCTGGCTGTCCCTGGGAGCCAATAATTGCCTTTTGCTGGGTGGTTTGTACATATGATTTAAACATGAAACTGCAATAACACTGTATGTATTTTCAGGATAGCTATCATTTTGCTCAGACTGAATGAAACTGTGTGCTAAAAACTGAGGCTTCATCTTGCTGATCAAACAATGGACAGAAAGGAAACATAACAATGTCCAGATGTTACTGAAGTCCATTAAGAACCCCAATATTGTTCTTGACCACAGTCCTTTATGCAAGTCCCCCCCATCAGCATCAGAGTCCCTCAAAATTCCTGCCATGCTTGCTAGTCAGTTGTGCTATACCTGCTTTGTTTTGTATTACTGGTTGATGGGTTATGTCATACCTTTGGTGTTGCTGTGTGGAAGGAATGTTTATCCATTTTGGAGTTGGGTAAGGAGCAGATGTGAAGGGGAGGTAAAATGCATTGGGAGCTGTCAAGGTCAGTCCCATGGGAATGCCTGGCATGGAGACAGACAACAGGGCAATCCTGGAAAAAGCAGGTTTGGGAACAAGAATGAATGGGTTTGAACACTCAAAAGAAGTTGAATTGTTCTGTGCTTTTAATATACTATGTAGCCAAAATTGCTTCAGTCCTAACAACATCACCATGCTGTGAACTACTTTAGTTTTCCCAATAAAGCTTTCTGGTCTTCCACTGAATCTTGGATTTCTGAACTAAGGTCAGCCAGCACATGGTGTCCCAATGTAAAGGTCCTGTAATGACAATGGAAATTAACTTCTATCTTCCCCATCTATTATCAATGAGTATGACTGAAACTGTAATCCACCAACCTCCCTGGACTCAGGTTTGGGAACTGTTGTGTCTAAACAAAAATATCCCTTTTGTATTTGAGACCGATGCTCTGTCACTTATCAACAAGGCTGGGTAAACTTTTGTTGCAATAATTACCTCGGTTCCTTTTCCTTTTCCTTTTTTCTTTGTGTGAAGGCATGCTGAACCTACGACAAACATTCTTTCTTTAATTATGCTATTTACAAATCTGAGAAACAGACTGAAAATGAGCAAGGAGAAAACCTGTCGAAGTGGATCCTGCTAGAAATAACTGGATCAAGTCTATTGGTAATTCATTCAATGTATTTGGGTTAATTATTATTGGAAACATTTCTCCCCACTTCGTTAAGTATGGGATTTTTGTATCCATGGTTTTCTTTCATCTCTTTTTGCTTGGCACCTACAACGACTTTCCCCCCACTTCTCATTAAGTAAATTTCTCAGACAGCTGGAATGCTGCTTGGCATTTATGTTTCTAAAGATCCCTTCCCTACCCTCACCCACTTCTTAACATGAATTTTCCAAAAAGTCACCATGTTTATTGCTTGCAGCAAAAAGGTAATGAGTTGATATGAGGGCAAAACAAGTTAATAAAAATGAGCATTTAAGATAACAAGGATCTAATAGATGTATCCTGCTAACATGCTGTCTGGTTTATCTTGTGATACCTTGTTAATTTTCCATGTGTGGGGTACTGCTCTCAGTTACCTTGAACTCTTTTACTAGTCTGTCTCAGGGAAGAGAGGAGTTAATAGAGGATTTTACAACAGATAGCTGTTGAGTGGAAACATGCTGTTAACTCCCACCCCCGCCGAAGACATCTTTTATGACTACAAAGAGATGAGGGGGACAATATGCCATGCTCATTATATGTAAAAGAAATATATTCTAGT